TATACTGAATTTATGAGATGTTAATGTCCATAAACCCTGATGAATGGATTATTACTACTACTACTGCTACTGTTTCATGTTTAACTGAGTTTATGCTTTTATAATGGAACCAATGTCTGTCTGGCAGCAGAGATGACACGGAAAAAAGCTGTCAGTACATCCGGTGCCACCAGGCAAAGGGCCTGGTGGCGTTTGCGACAGCAATGGAGGATGTTGGGGATGTTTGAGATCAACCCAGAGCATGAATTCTATCATTTTACATCCATAATAAAAGAAGGCATGCAGGCTGTGATCCAGGCCTCCATCGACACACCACCTGAGGTGAACGCTCTTCTCATTTAAGCACAATGGTTGGATGTAAACATGATCATGATCTCAGGAACTTTTTACCTTTTTACACAGGATACACTCACAGAGGAGCATTATAAAGCAGAGGAAACTCAAACCCATGAGGCAAGTGGTCATATCCACTTAACTCATTTTCCTGTTATTCTGACAGCAACTTTGAATGCTTTGAATATTTGAAAGCTCTTGGCCATTCATAATTTTAGTTTGTTGTTCTATGAATTCCTCTCAAATGAATTTTAATCCTTGTATTCCAGGGCTTTGAGATACAGACGTTTGCAGCACCAGTGTTTGCTAAACTGAGGCATTCACTGGACATCACAGAGAAGGAATACCTGGACTCACTCTGCTTGGGTGGCTACTACCTCCAGTTTGTCAGCAACTCCAAAAGCAAGGCAGATTTCTTTGTCACGTGAGCATCATCCTCTGTAACACACATTCATGATGACTCTGATTTAAAACTAATATGACATCAAAGTGCTCATTTTCAAGCATAACAACACACATATATTCACATGCACATGCTTCAGCCCAGGAACTATGTCCACTTTTAATGATTCTGCACCTCAAACCTGCAGGGCCAGTGGAGGAAGTAGTGTGGCTCTTATAAAGGTGTTAGGGGGTTAAAGGTACAGTGTGTAGAATTTAGTGATATCTAGTGTTGAAATTTCATGTTGCTGCTGAACACCCCTCACCTCACCATCTCCTTACAAACATGAAAAATAACCTGTGGTAGCTTCAGTTGTCATAAAAACTCAAAAGGTGTTTAGTTTTTATCCAGTCTGGATTAATGTAAAAAACATGGCGGGCTCCATAGAGAGGACCCCCTCAATGTAAATATGAAGTATTTAAATATAAAGGGCCTTTTCTGGGGTAAAGAAAACTACAATTCATTAAATTTAGATGAAATGAACTAGTGAAAACATCATGAGGATTATTCTACATTACATTTCTGCCAATAGATCCCTTTCACCTAAATCTTACACACTGGAGCTTTAAGTGGAACGTATAAAAAAATACCAATTTGACAATAAGTGATTGATTCATATGCTTTGTGTAGTACCCCCACACAAAGAAGATCCACATTGGTTTGTGTGTTTTTTAAGCAAGATTTTTATCTTTTTTATTCAACATTGATTTTTTTAAATAATTTTTCGGGTCTTAGCAGCAGTAGGGATCTACCATTCTGGTAGTTATTATTTTGTTCTGAGATGTAAAGACTGCTTCAGAATGGTAAAGTAAGGATTTAAAATATGTTATTGACATTTTTACTGTTAGGTTTGCAGAACTGGTGCCTCTGGTAACATTAACTCTACTGTTCCATGCATGTGGAGAGGGAGAATTTTAAAATTGCTGACTCTGAATATGAAAAAAAACATGGTCATATAACATATTCAGGGCTTATCTGGTTATGATAATTGACGTGGCTGTGCTTGGTTTCAGGAATGACAAGCGGTTCTTCCTAAAGACCCAGAGCAGACGGGAGATCAGGTTTCTCCTGTCCAATCTGCAGGCATACATGGACCACCTGGAGAAATACCCTCACTCACTGATGGTGAGATTTCTAGGTAAGAAGACTGGGTTACCCGGGGGAGTCACCTCCAGTGCTGACGCAGATGTTCCATGTTCCATCATGACACTTGAGTCCTACTGATCTGCACAAGACCACAAACCTGTACTTTTCAAACAAAATAACTGTTTATTATACCTAAATTCTCTGCTTGCAAATTTTTAATATTGACAGTTTTACTTTTTGATGTATATAGAAAAATCACAATTTAATAATATGCATCCTTCTTTTCTCTTTCCAGGTGTCTACAGGATTGTTATTCCAAATCAAATAAAGGTATTTCATCCATATAACAAGTCATTATATCCAATATATCCTAACAGTATCAGTACTACAATGCAGTGTTGTCTGTCTGCTCTTCAGAAGTACTTGATCGTGATGCAGAGTGTGTTTTACCCTGATGAGAGGATCAATATCAGGTACACCATCTACATTCACCCTGAGTTCTGCTGTGTGGATCTCTGCTGGGTCTATAAAGTGATGTTTCTGTTGCACAGATACGACATTAAAGGCTGTGAATTGGGTAGATGGACTAACCCTGACACTGGGGGAAAACAAATGATAAAAGTGCTGAAGGACAATAACTTTGAAGGGCAGTACATTGCATTAGGTGAGTGTCCTCACCCCTGCACTACTTGTTTCCATAGTCATTTGAAGTGTAAGGGCACACCAAATGGAAATGTTTGTGTGGTTGCTGCAGGTCAAGACAAACCCTGGTTTGCTGATCAAGTGAAAGCGGACGCTACCTTTCTTCAGGAGCTCAATGTGCTGGACTACAGTCTCCTGCTGGCCAATCAACCTCTGCACCGAGACGAGCTTGAAGGAAAACGCTCTTTGGCAAATATCGTTGTTCGTGCCACAAAGTAAGTTTCAAATGAGCAGGTACTGATGTTCTGTGCCAAAGTGAGATGTGTTAAAAAAGTCTGCCTGTTAACACATTTTAATGTCATCTAGAAACAAAATCTCTGGGGTGTTATTTACTCAACTGGCAGTCCCTCCTTGATGGCTCCACTGTCCACAGAGTGGCTCAGTCGTAGGTTCCTTTCTATTTTGGAACTATGCACTTCCGCTAGCCCAAATAAAAGTTAATAATGATGATTGGAAATGGATGGCCAATGTATACATCTATTTTTTATTATTAATTTTTAAAGAGCCTGAAAATGTAACCACATGCTGCCTGCTCTCTGCCTTCCTTCATGTTGCTCCTGCCTCCTTTGGGAACCAAACCAAATTGCAAGTTGTGGCTAAATAGTTCTTTTGGTGACACACCAGACTCCCCATGAAGGACAAGAGACTTAATGAAGTCAAACACATGTTCCATGAGGATACCTTCAATCTAAGCATTCGGTGTATTTCTGATGAATACTGAGTGAAATATCACAGTCTCTTCATCAGGACATGCAGCAAATAATTCAAATTTTGTATTGAATCAGTGATTTAAGCACACTGTTGCATCAATCAGCACTAAATTTTGCTGTGGATCAGGACAAAGAGATAGATTTAGATTTTTTTAATCACTTTTTTCAACATTCAGTTTCTTTCACATTTTCTCTCATTTCTATGGAAATCATTTATGGAATATAATGAGAAAGAATCAGTGTGAAATCTGCAGATTGATTGTATTTAAGGGGATTGTTGGGCCTTGGTGGATGTTTGTGCTCTACTGCTTCGCATTCTAGTCTCTAATGTAACAACAAGTATACTCATAACCCTCCTGTGGACACAGCTGTTGGTCACCTTCAGAGATTGACTTTGGCCTTTCTCTGGCTTTGCGGATGATGTCCCTAACGCTACGCTCTACTCATGTTATGAGTAGCCACGTTGTACACCCCATGGCTAGAATGTCTGATTAGTATATGACACAGGCAAAGGGGTATGTGTAAACATCTGAATAAAGTCACTTTGTAGTTAGAAGATACAATCTCAGTTTCTATCCAATCAATTGGAATTACTTGCCATAGATGCAGAACTGGGTTATGACACAACATTTGCCCTGTAAGGTAGGCCTGTTTATTATCTTACAGCAGAGAAACCTAAGGACATCTGTGACCATTCAAATCTTACACTCTGGTAAATGACAAAAAAAGACCACAATATGGTTCAGTCCTGACATCACAGTGCCATTCATTGGCACTCTTACACAAAGTTTGAATTGGACATTCTGTTCCTTTAGGTGTGAGAAGGATAAAAATGAAAATTCATTATCTACTCACCATTGTGCCGATGCAGAGTCGGGTGAAGTGTTTGAGTCCACAAAACAATTTTCAGGGGTAAACATTGTTGCAGCCAAATCCCATATAATTGAAGTAACAATTCTTAAAAACGTAAAAAAACAAAAGAGAAAATCATGAACGCTTCACGAACACTGCTCCTGTGGTGTCATCCAAGTGTCCGTAAGCCCTGACATTCAAATTTGTCTCGAAATGATGTCAAAACACTTCAACCACCCCCCCATCGGCATAATGGTGAGTAGGTAATGAATTTTTATCCTTAACTATTGCTTTCAGCAATATTCTTCAGTCTTGTGTATTTATGTAATTTGATGTCATGAGTGAGTAGTTCCTTTCGGCTGGTGAAAAACATGAATCCAGTTTGCTAGACTGACTTAAGACAAGTGTTTCACAGTAAACCCGATCGTGTACGCTCTATCTTATAGGTCTTTGGACTTAGTTAGTCCCACAGAGGACCCCCCCACCATCCCACTACTGTCAGAGACCCGGGGTGAGAGGGTACCTGATACCACAGACAGTGGGTCAGGCCAGCCACAGGCAGCAGCTGACAGTGCTAGTGAAGGGATCCCCCTCCAGGATATAAACTGGACGGCTAAAGAAACCAGGACCGACTCAGTGCTCCAGGATTTTCAGGAGCATCATCACAGGCTTCTGCCCAATTGCAAAAATGCCATTCATGTGATTGATGGGCCGGATCAACGCTACTTTGTCGGCATCATTGACATTTTTACCGTCTTCAACTGCAAGAAAAAACTGGAGAACCTGTGGAAAAGCCTCCGTTACCCAGGCAGAGCCTTTTCCACGATGAGACCAACCAAGTACTCACGCAGATTCTGTCAGTGGATACAGGACCACACTCAATGAGAAATAACAAAAACCCATTCATCACTGCATAAAACACCATCTGCTATATAACCCCCAATGTCCACTGGATGGGGCTGTGACTCTGAAGTTTGTAATTCATTATACTGAGTGGTCAAAAGCCAATTGGTCTAAGACATTTGGACTCTACTCTAAATACCTGTTTTCTTATTTCAATTTTCAATGATATGACCACAAGAGTAAGTAAAACAATTAAAAGTGACTGCACATGTGTGAGTGTAACTTGAAGTTGTTATACTTGCAGATGGCTTTAAGATGCTTTTGAAACACACTAGTTGTTGTGCATGAGTTCTAAAAATGTTGCTTGAATTATGCTACATTATTGTAAATGAACCACACTGTTGGGACCTGGTATCTGTGAACCATAGTTGGGCCTACATGTGTAGTTAAAAGCCTGACTGCATGTCTCCTTTGCTCTGGAGACAAAGGAGAGCTTCCTGAACCCGGTCTCCCAGGGTGCTTCATCTTCACACATAGGTGGTAAAACTGCTCCTGGAGACAACTCTCAACCACTATCGTTCACTGTGTGCCCCATGACCCATGAGGTCACCAGGCCAATATAAGCCGACTTTCCCCTCTGCTAGTTTTTTTCCCCCTCTTCACTCTTTCCTCTTCACTCTTCGCCCTTCGGCCTCTTCCCCTGCTGACCGCTCCTGGAGGAGTAGGTTCTGGCCCTGCTCTCCCAGCCAGGGAGACTTCCTCCATCCACAAGCTCCTCAACTTCAAGCAGGCCTGCCTAGAGCAGACTGCTAAAACCTTCCAAAGGCAGTGACGCGAGAGCCTGCCTAAGAACTTCAGCACAACTGGCCAAGACACAAGGTCTGACCAGCAGATGCACAACAGGATCCACAAATCAACAAGACCACTTCACTGGACTTCAAACAGCACATCCAAAAAGCACCTTTCCCCCTTTTTCATGGACGGGTTAAAAGTTTGACTTGTGTTGTTGTGATATTTGGTAATTTGTTATTTGAAAGTTATTGTTAGTTCTGTTAGGCTTTTCATTTTCTTTGCATGCATTTTACTACTTTCTTTAACCTGGCACCAACACCTCACACACTCATCTCCACAAACTTAACACCTACATGTGATCTCAGTCACATGGTCTCACCACTCCAGGGGGCCTTTTGTCTTCATAGTGGCCAGCCGCCATTTTGAATCTCAGTCACTCACTCACACACATACACACATATACTTGCATACTCGTATACACACCTGTATATAGTAAGTAAACCTTTTGTTACTTTTTGTGTTAATACTTTTATTATTCTCATAATAAATGTTTTTCTCCAAAACACGTCTTAGTTAATGTTGCATATGTGTGAATTTTGCCAACCTCTACACTGTCAAGAACTCCATATCCCTCAACTTTGCTAGCTATTGATGTGGTACATTTGGTTATAGTTATTTATTTAATTATTAATCAGAGTTCCAAATTTGTAGTCAGTAATTTCATGAGACTTATTCAATAAATTGGCTATCTTTTCCCTTCCTTTGAAGGGTGGTGCCCCGATTTATCTTTTATTAGTTTAATTATTGTTAATATTTTTAATATTAATATTTCAGTGATAGCCACATTTATTGAATGCCTAAAAGCACACCATTTAATGGTGCCCCGCGTGAAGGAAAGTACATAATCGTACCCCACGCGAGGGAAAGTACATAATAACATTAATACCAACATTTTTGGTGCTCCGTGTAAGGCAAAGTCATTAATAATAACATTATTTTGACGCCACGTGGAGCAGTGCACAACAACGCAATCTAACAGACTGTTGAAGGAAAGTGAGACACGACTGCAGACCACACAGATGGATCTGTCTGAATGTTGAATAAATAGTGTATGATACATTTGAAAATAATTCATACATCCATCAAGTTTGGTGTGCTTCTGCGTGTGTTTTTTATTAACTACTCTGTTAAGAGTGCTGAGAGTCCAAAGCAAAGAACTGAGACAATGATATGAACTTCATTCCATATCTATATTTTTTTTATGTCTAAAGCCTCACAACTTAGGCCACGTTTAAGTTCGGTGTTTTAGAGTCACTTCTCAAGAATTCATTTGATGAGTCATGACTAAGGATTATAATAAAAGTTTTAAAGTGGCTATACAGATTTAAAACTTGGTTAGTTCTGTATGAAGGGTGTGAAAAACTAAAAAAGACCAGATATGTATAAGAAGTACATAATTTCAAGTTTATTAGTCACAGTCCACATTATTTTGTCACACCTAGAGTGTGCACATGGCTTTGCTCTGAAAAAGGAGAAATCCTCCTATACAGAAATGAGGTTAACACTACTTGAAGTTTACTGCAGGCACACAGAGAACATATGTTTACTGTTTGAACTTATAAGTTAACATGATGAGGTAAAGTATAATGCTTCAGCACTCTGAGGTTATTATAGTATGAACCAGCTATATATAAAACTGTCAGAAAAGTGTCACTACTTATGTTGAAATTTATGTTGAAAGACTGTAGTGCATTTCCGTACAATTTCATAAATCCTCGCTTACATACACTTTAATTTATGTTTGATAAAAATAATACACCCTGTTGTTAGCCCATTTAAAGAGTTCCCTGCTGTTCTTGCACTTCCTCTCGGGGACTGATGGAGTTCTTTGTATTTTCCCAGTTTCACTCTTCTAACAGACGCACAGTGTCTCACGTACTCCACGACAAGCACAAACCTGGGTTGTCACTGAAGAGTTAAAATCACCTTCTGAGAGACACACTGGGGATCATGACACAATTAAAAACGATCTTCTTTTACTAGCAGGTTTGATACTTAAATTTACTGCATTCATTAACAGTTGTGTTCTGCTGAAGTGTCCTTGAGCAAGTCACTGGACACGGGTATCAGCAACATGTCTGTACCCTACTTCGTTCACACATGTGTGTTGTGGACCAGTAGCTTGGCAGGTAGTCGCAGCATTGATGGATGCTACGTCCTAAGATTATGTGGAGTATTCTTCGGTTGGGGTCAACCTCGGATTTGAATTTCATCATCCTGTGAAAAAGATGAAAAATCAAAAGATACATTATTACTTAGATACTAATAGCTTATTATTAGTTATTTATTTTGTGTGACTTCATTAATCAAAATAAAACAAGTGATTGTGAAGTTTTACTTTTACACTTTTTTATACATACTGTTTCAGCCGTGTCCGCTGTCTCCTCTCCCTCTGTTTGCTCGCTGCCGGCGGTGAACGCCTCGAAGTCAGACAGAGCACTTTCCACCGCCTCCTCATCATAGTCTGTCTGGTATTCATCAGACATTTCCTCTGAAGGCAGACAGGACAAAACAACATGTCCACCGATTCGTATCATTTTAGATGAACATTTGAAGAATTTGAAATCCTTTTAATGTATTAATTATATAGCTTTTCACAAAGATAGTAGATCATTTGGACTTTGTCAGATGATTTTATCCACAGACCTCTGATATGAACAAAAGGTTAATTGTTTTATGTGGGTATTATATCAGACATGTAGCTGAGAATGCAGATAATTTCTTTGTAATTCCTTCAATTGTATTACAGATTTTGTAAAATACATAAAATTCAGAGCTGTATGCATCAAAAGCATCCATTTATATTCTTTGTAAATGTCTCCATGTATATGTATATGACATTTTAAGTTGATAGTTTATTATGTTATCCATAACTAACCATTGATTAGGGCATTCTTCACAGGTTCTATTCTTGACACAATCTCCGCCAGGTCTGTGAAAGAGGCGTTCGGGCAGGTGACCATCTGAAAGACACATTGCCTCATTCCAATGAAGAGTTTGAATCAGCTTCAGTACATCACAATTAGATAATACATTTAAAACATTAACTGGCATCAATAAAACACTTACCAAAAGTTTGAAAAAAAACAGATTAGTGTTTGTGTCTGTGTAGAACAACCTCCACAAGGACCTTGTGATGACAAAATCTTCACCTATTTGATAAAGCCATAGCTTTCCAATGTTTATATAAAACTTATTTTAATTGGTATTATCTATGCAAACTTGATTTTTATGCATTAACTAGCATTTTGTGTAACTTAGTGCACGTTTAAATCCTGGTATTGTCTATATGTTGCATAGCACAAGCGATATGATATGTATTTATCCCAGTTGCAGAGGACGGTTCACAGATTATATAACCCCTCAGAGACAGTCATGCTTCCCTATCGGATGTGCTGAACAACTTTTATGCACAATTTGACCGGTGGAAGATTGTGTAGGGACTCAAGACCATCGTGTGACTGCAGACTGTGTAAGACCCTCTCCAGGGTAAAGCCTCACAAAGCAGAAGGTTATGTCACAGGCCATGCGCTGGACGGCTGGTAAATGTCCTTGCAGACGTCCTCAACATCTCTCGGGCCCAAGCAGTCACCCAAACAAACTTAAGAGGACTAATGTTGTTGGTGTTTTTTGGCTTTTCTGACCACAACACAGCCAGTACGATATATACACTGCTTCTTAATAGATACATATCTTGTGGTCTGACCTCAGCTACGAGTCTCCTGTATGCTGATAACTATCCCATAGCCCTCAGGCCCATCCTCAGCCCATCCTAATGAAGTGCTCCAGGCTGGTCCTGCACCACATTAAATCCAACCTGCCCATCAAACTCAACGCCTACAGTTTGCTTACAGCTCCTAGAGCTCCATTGAAGATGTTGTGTGATCTGCCCTTCACTCAGCCCTGTCCCACAATGAAAGAAACTATATTTATGTCGAGATGCTTTTCATCTGCTTTAGTTTAGCCTTCAACCCAATGATGCAGCGCCAACAAGGCGTAACCGCTTGTTCGGCAACTGGGACCCAGACTTCATCACTGTTAGGAGACAGTCAGTTCAGATCCCCAGCTACAACTCCAGCACCACCACACTGAGCACAGGGCTGTGTACTTAGGCAACTCCTCTAAAAACTGACCGACTGCATCACATCAACACATCTTTGATACAAAAATTAGACGATTAAAGTAGGTTTACCCATTTTTTAGATACGTGTAAACCCTTGAAAAAGGTAATTTACTTCTTTACCATTGCCTGTGGAAGATTTTGCCTTTCTGTTTTTTTGCTCCGGCGTTCTCTCACCTCGTCATCAGAGAGGATTAACTACTACTGCTAACTACTGAGGAGCCATTTGACCCGGCAGTGTATATCGACTGTATCCATTCTCATTTCAGACAAAAACTAGATGTTAGTGGGTGTTATTGGGTGTTTTAGACCAGTGAGGCTTGCTGACACAACAGTGGTGGCCCTCATCAGCAACAATAATGACACAGCTTACTGCAAGTACCAACGTCATGGTATATTTGTTTTCATTCACATATTTTATGTGCTTTTGATCACAGCTCAGAAACACACACAAACAAATATAGGATGACAGTAGCTGAGATCACCTTTGTGAGATAAAATACAGATACGGTCTATCTCGATGTCTGACAATGATAATAGGATGATATGAAAACAAACAGATAATAGCCAAGCCCGAGTGAAATAAAATTAAATAAAGCAACTTGATAACAGTTTTAAAATCTAGATTTTACTCACATCGCCAGGTTTGGTCTTGTGGAAGTCTTCCTGATGTCTGTCCTTCAGCATACTGTCCACCACCCCGCTGCGCTGCCACACATCGAACACTGTCTTCCCGTGCTGGTATCCAACCTCCTACAGCCACAGTGACAGAGGGTTAGGCGAGTGAGATTCACGGGTGGAGGAGATATGGAGAATGGCATTGAGAAAAACAAAGGGGAAACTCACAGCAATCTCGTCGAACTTGCCAAACTCTAGTGTGCCGTAGTGGTTGATGGGAGGTCGAATGTACTCGCAATACTCACTGTCTTTGACCAGTTCCAGCTGCCGTACGCAGCAGACGTAAGCAAGTCGGGTTTGGATCTCTGCCATGTTCAGAACCTGCAAGTGGAAATTCAATGATGCTCTAATCACTGATCGGAAACAGATCTACATGTTCTACTTCTGTTTTTTCCCACTTCTCAAGAATCAGTGAGACACTTTTGCAACTCAACCACCAAAACAGGAAGACAAGGTGAAGGACCCTGTTGATGTGAATGACTGTCTATGTAACCTTGTTTTTATTCATGTGTGACATATGTCAATAGGTCTGGGAGATTATTGCGGTGCAGAGCTTTGTAGATGCGGGTTTGCAAAAAATCTCCCGAGTTGGACTGTGATGAAGGATACAACATTAATAAGTGAATTCTAATTCGCAATAAATGATAATAATAAAAATCTGTTAATAACAAAGAGCCAATATAGTATTTAATACATAAACTAATAAGCAACAAATGAATGTATAATGAGTGCACATAAAGTCTTACTGCTTGATTTAAAAAAAAAGAAAAAGTTAATTAATAATTTCTCAGACATCAGACATTTCAGGTCAGTGTACCTTGACTTTCTCAGCCAGTGGGTTGAATCGTTTCCACAGCAGCCACCAGCCGTTCAGTGAGTCACCATAGTTGGTCAGATTGGTTTCATCCTGGCTTCCGACATCAATTGCAATCACAACCTTGGCCCCCATGGAGCGAGCCACATCAGCTAGATACCATAATAGGACAAATGCACTTTAACAGACTTTTATCTTTTAGGACTGCACTTCTTTAAATATGGTATACTACGAGCATGTTTTCCCTGCAAACAACCAGATAAAGGTTTTCTTTTGTCTATTGTGATGCTTAAATTATTTCCATGATCTAAGGGGAGCTAACAGACCATCAGCACAGAACTGGCACAGTTAGAAAATTTACCAGAGCCCTTTTTACTTCTTCCCCCTTTTCAGGGACTGGTAACACAACTGGGCTGAAAAGTAAAACTTATCTAAGCAAAAGACTGTTAAATTCAATTCAGTTGATGTTTAATAAGTTTGAGTTGTGTTATTTTGATACTTTAGAAATAAGTAACTATGGGTTTTTCTTTGCATTCAACTAACCAGTTTCTTTAACCTGTTCATACCCTGCTAAATTTTAATCTGAAAAGACTTTGATATACATTTGATATACTACAAGTTGAGTCCAAATATCAGGAAAGCTCTATACTTGCAAACTTGATTCAAGGATGCCTGTGATTGCATACACCCATCAGAAGACACAGATCCAGCATGAAAGCAGCCATGACACACTTGTTAATTTCCATCTTTGATAAGTGTGAGATTATGTAAGTGTTGGAAGACATGATAGTGAAAGCGGTGTTGGTTTTTTTTATAACGCTACTTAATAGTAATTTCAATGCAACTCGCTTCACAGGAGTACAGCGCCTGAACAGGGACTTGAACCCTGGACCCTCAGATTAAAAGTCTGATGCTCTACCGGCTGAGCTATCCAGGCTTCAAAAGGTGCATCTTTAGGGTCAAAGATTTGCGCGTAGTGTAAATTGACGTTTATATACGCACACATTACTACCAAAGACAATGTACCACTTCATACGGTAGGGCAGTCGAAGGGCATCTGCAACAAGGAAAGATGAATACTTTTAAGGACTTTTGGTGGAACAGGACCATGACACACTGGTTAAATCA